ATATACTTTTACGATATCTCTAAGTTCGCATGTGCGTTCTGATCGGTCACTTTAGCGGGCGCTTCGCACTCGGGCCAAAATTCGATTCGTAACGCTCAGTACGGGCATCAAATTCGATTAGTTAGAGGTATTTCTATCGAGTATAACAAGGACAGTCTGTAGTATGAAATGGTTGTTTAAAATTAGACGATCTTAGAGTACGAGACTTCAAAACATTAACATTCCATTGCGATAACCTTATTGCTCAGAGCCCTTGTAGTTTCGTGCTTGTGTCATGGATTTTACATTTTCTTTCAGATCGTGATCTCGGCAGAATTCTGTGAACCGATCCAAACAATACATCGGTGGGACACTGCAATAAGACAATTTCAGCTTTTGGTGGGGTGGGCGGACGCCTGCAGGTTACACTGAATGATATGCTGTGCACGCTAGAGCGGAACGCACGCAAACTGTTGTTACCCGCGAGCGATGTAGAGCGTAAAAGGCTATTTTTAAGCACAACACCCTAATTTAAAACCATATGTTGTGGAGGGGTAACCTTCTGGCGCACGTACTCCACACTGTCAAAGCAAAAGGACCACTTGAAGTCAAATATTAAAACTCGTCGAAAAACTACTTTTTGATTGAGCCGGCAAGCTACAAGGAAGGCTGATATCACTGGGAGTTCGTCAGAATTCACTTTAAATTACATAACACTAAAATTCAAGCTTCTTGAAGGGGTAAATCGTCTATGGGGTTTATTTTTTTATTCGAATGGTTGAATAAATTTAGAGCTTGCCAGCTGTGTTAATCCATCAAAGAGCTCTTCGGAGAAAAGCGTCGTACTTAATACCCTGACAAGGACTATTGCTATCGGGAGAACTACAAAACACCCCGTGCTGCCTCGCTCTGATGATGAGGTCAGTACTCCTTACTCAGCCCGTACAGCGGCGAGTTCATGCCAATTTCCTTTTCAAAAGTGCCTTGTATGGAAGTTGTGTGAGGGGTATTTCGCGGGGCGTTCGAAACATGCATTTTTTATTATTTCGGCGCGTCTAACATGTAACGAATGTTATTGAATTTGAACAAAAAAGAAAACTTCTTTGTAGAAACTAATTGAAATAGCGGTAATTGAAAGAGGCGCTGAATTTTTTGACGGGTAGAGTAACTTTGTATGAAAAATTTCGTTTCGTTGAAGTAAATTTTCCATAGTTTACATTATTTTGTAAAATGGTGCAACCTCGGAAACTGCTTCAGAAACATTGCAAAAATAAAAACTTTTAGAACAAAAATATCAAGCTCGATGGACTGCAATCGCTGCTGGGACTTGCGTTTAATGGGTCAACGTTGCTTAAAACTTTATGAGGAAAAATTTCGTATCATATCTAATTGAATTTGGTTTTAAAAAGAAATTTTTTTGTTTGTTTTTGCCCATTTTATTAAGCTAAACTTGTTTTATAGTTTGCGAAAAAAAATCTGAACGTGTTAGTAAATATTCATTATTAAAAGGACTGGACAAAAGATGACCCGTAGGCGCCGCAAACTCTTCTTGATTTTTTCGGCTTTTGTAAGGCGTAATTAAACTTTGGAGCGGAAATATTGCAAGTATAAAAACAGTCATCCTCCGACATGAAATGAACTCGGCCGAAAGAGATCGGAATTGTATGAAAGTAATGAAAGTTTCCGATGTGATGTCTGTCGGACATGCGCAAAGTTTTGCAAACCGTGAGTTTAGCGTATGAATGAAAATGTCGGCGCCAGCTGGTCTGAAGGAATATGACATGAAAACCAATGATTCCTGAAGGTCCAATTAGAAAATGGCTTACTGAATACTGTCCTGAGCTTTTTTTTCGCAAAAAATAGCGTAAGTGGGGCATAAATTCAAGTGATCAGAAGGGTATTTAAGAAACTCAAGCATAAAAATGAGCTACTTAGCGATTACATTGCTAGCTTTTTTTTGTGAACTTCTCACTCGATGAAAATCCAACTTTGGGAGGGTTATTTGTAAGCGGGTGACTTGAGATTATATTTAAGAAGGATATGCACCGAGAAATTCTTCGTTGTCAAAGTTTTCCTCAGCCCTAGAGTAAAAACTGCAGTTAAAAATATTAAGGTGTCACAAAGTTCTCTCGCAGACTACTATCTGCAGGTAGTACATGTTACGTAATTGCGTATTTTTGCTAACATAAACATTTGCTAACCAACCTAATCTATTGCTAAACCGTTCTTTAAATATTTAACTCTTTCGCGCGGCAGTACATATTTAAAATACTACGCTTAACTATTATTACGCAGATAAATTTTACCTTGAAAATTAGCGAGATGGAATATAATAACGATGTTTTGCAAATGGTCCACTCATGTACAAGAATATTTTGCATGTACGTTTCCTTAAAGCGATTCAATGTTTTCTTGGAGAACAGTTGGAGAGTTGAAAGCGCCAGGCAGATGTTCTCCTTTATATGTACGTAGCAAACATTCTCAGCGTGTGTCTCTGAAAATTCAAACTGTAAAGATGATTTTTATACCCTACCTGCAGATTTTCACTCGAGTCACGTAAGCAAAACATCATTCATGTCGTCTAAGCTTTTTTGCCTTTTCTATGAAACACAGGGTTTTTTTAATAGCATGTTACATACATGGCAAAATATTATATTTGGATCATTTTTCGGAATACCTTGATTTCACGAAGAAAGTTCCGTTTTTTGAGTTGATATGAGGAAGATATGTTTTTCGCTGTAAAGTGGTGCTTTCTGGAGATCTCCTTGACGAGGACTCTACTTGGTTCCCATTTTGATCATTTGCCCACTTGAAAGATTCGCCGCCAGATATTATCGGCAGTCTTAGGGTTTTACTTTCGTCGTCACTAAGTTCTAAGTTCCTCGCTACGGTTTCATCAGTTTTATTCCTCGTCTTTGGCCCGCTCCCTACGGTCCTGCGATGCGACACCTTTTTTCCACTGTCTGATCTGGAATAAAATTCAGGCATGCTCGAACTTCTTCTCGTGGGACGGTTTCCATCCTGCAACCTTTGATTTGATAATTCCATCGTTTCATCTGTGTGTAAATCCGATTTCCACTCATTCCCCATCCTGGCACCTCGAGAATTACCTACTTTAGATTTTACAGACTGTGTTTCCTTCGATTTCGCGGCGACCAAACCTTTCCAAAGTCCACCATTGCTTCCTTCGATGAATGGTAAGGATGCGCTTCTCTTGCGGTGTCGTTTTTTATTTCCGAAATTTCTAATCTCGATTGGAGAGAAATCGTCGCTGCATTCGTCCTCGCTTTTTGTGCTATCATTATCGAAATTATCGAAAGCACTGTCCCGTGTTTTCGCCATCAAAAGTGATGATCACAAATTATCGTTAACAGCTAATTTTTCTTGATACTCTGTCAGATTGAAAGTGAAAAACATACACCGGCCGATAAATTCTAAAAACTGACACCGGATAAATCTAAAGCTTGAATTTGTTAACTCAAGGCCGACATTGCGACTCGCATATTTACAGACTTCCGTTAATATTATGATTTCAATACAGCTCATAAGCTGACGGGAAAACTCAATTCCTCAAAGCCGCGAAGTGGATGATGTCTCCGAAACCTACGGACTGTTTAGACCCGGCGAGCGGTTTATAAACAACCACTCATATGAAGTGCTGCTGTCCGTTTGAACGCAAAATGATTTACTGCCAGGAAGGAGGAAGTATGGTTCTGTACGTTCACTGTAAAAAAAAATAAGGAGATAAAACAATTGTTTGTAAGTGGTCTCTTGTCATTCTCCTGTAAAGAAAATATTGACGCGCCGTTATTGGCTGCATGAAAGGTCATAATCGATCCTGGCGATCTGGTTTGAAATACATCGGCAGGTGGTCGTGATAAACAGTAGCGGTGCTTTCCGCGCGCTTCTTTGGTACACATTTCGAATTTATTCCAAGCTTAATTAACTGTTTTGCCAAGTCTGAACGCGTAAAAACAGTAGTTTGTCTAAGATGTTAGGCCTTGCGGTTTGAAATGTGCAGGTGTCTACGCTCTCAACGAATCTTGGGAACTATTGTACCTGCGGACAATAACTATATAACAATAATGATGATTACGAGAATAATTATTATAATAATAATTGGAGTATTTTGCATGCATCATGTCCGACAAACCATCTGATGTACGATTATTAAGCCAACTGATTGTTATTGATTATAGGAGAAATTATTCTGCTCTACCACAGAATCAATCGATCACTTCACGGTGACTGGCAACAGGTTCTTTTGTTTAACGACTGAAATGACATAATTAAGAAAGATGATGTACATTGAGCTTGATCTTATGATGTAGAAAGATGTTATTGATCTGTTACTTGCGTGGGGGGAATAATGGTTTTTGTTTTTCCCACGCTTGTGTCAAATATATATTACGTTTCTTTAAATAAAATAAAATTTTTGAATTTTTAAACATTACTCTTATCAGATGTCAACTCACTCAGGTGTACATAACTCATCTGATATTTTTTATCCGATGCCTTTTTTCTTTGTAAAACTAATCAAGTGTCTAACTCATCTCTAGTCTTCCTCACAACGAACGTGGTTCAGGAGAGCGGTGTGGAGAAATGGGGCGATATCAGAAGGAAGCTATTGACCCCTCGCTCTCGCCTAGAGCCTGAAAGTCGGCGTCAGTTGTAATAAACGATTTCAAAGCGGCTAAAATAGTGCCCACTCTAATTGTCTCGGTTTTACTTGACCAGAGTTCGGCATCCTTAGAGATCCGTCGAATAAGAGTTTCAGTTGATGCTGATGGTGTTGTCGGTCTTGCCTACTTAATTACTCTGCAAAGATGTAAGCATAAACCTTTACTTGTGGTCTTTTGTATCAATACCTTTCCATTGCACCTATGTCACGTTATCCATTCACTGGGATCGAATCAAGAGCGCGACTCGCGCGACAGGCATCGCGCGTGCGTTTTATGATGTTGGCACAGCTTCCTTGTCAGCGGATTCTCCCTAGGTCTCAGTCTCTTGATCAAGAATTGTGTCATTATGGCGATCAACTTTCGAACCAGCTGTCTGCTAATTTGTTTCGATTCATAATTGTCAATGACCAAAATGGCCAGTTATTTAAAAGAAACGCTAGGAGAGCTGCGAGAGACAGCACTCAAATCACTGGAAAAAAATAAAGCCAACAATAGTACCGATGATGGATCTGAAAGCACGAATCTGTTCGTCTCGTCGCTTGTTATCAACTTTTCGATATCCTTACTCGCACTCGGCGTATTCTCGTTCTTACGGCCGAGACTCAAGCAGATTTACTCTCCACGTCAGCTGCTGTTGGATGTGATGTTTCCCCTGGGTAAACTGCCTCATTCGTTTTTCGCGTGGGTAATTCCTGCCTTTATGGCCAATGATGATGATGTGTTCTATTATGCGGGGATTGACGCGCTCGTTTACATGCGATTTATGCGCTTGTGCGTCAAAATATCCCTGGTGATCATGCCTTACGGTATTGCAGTCCTTCTTCCGTTGAATTATTTCGGTGGAGAAGGCCTGCATGGCTTGGACAGGGTTGCTCTCTCAAACATAGAACATGAGTCGTCTAAAGTCTGGGCACACGTTGTTCCTGCCTGGTTTTACACTTTTATTATTTGCTATCTACTCTACGAGGAATGGAAAATGTACATCATGTATCGCCAGGAATATCTTAGCAGCGGAAAAGGCTATCAATATGCTGTGTTAATTAGGGATCTACCAGTTAAGGTAATCAAACGGCATCTCTCGCGCCTGATTGTTAAGCAATTTCTCTCCACAATATCAGTAAATCATCTGGCGAACAAGCGATGAGAATAGGCAAACTTATCAACTAAAAAATTTTTTCCTCAGAAAAAATCATAATCCCTTATACAATTTTTGCCAAAACCTCCCACCAGACCTGTAGATGTTGTCTGAAACCAAAATTCCTCCAACAACTTAATTGCATTTTAGTTTCACTTTAAAATTCTTGAAATATCGGTCAAAGAATGTTTGGTATTGACATGGCTCAGAGGCAATATTAATTAATTTACTTGAAACTTGAAACTTTACCTTATTTGTGCTCAAGTGTAGAATTAAAAAAGAGGTGTTTCTGAAGTTTAAACACACCCCCCCCCCCCCACCTTGTAAAAAAATTTCTAGATCCACCACAGCACCCCTTGTAACCAAAACCCTTTCACTTCCAAGATCTTTACAGTAATTTTCCTTACTGTCTGACTCACCCATTTTAGCTGAATTGATTTTATCAACTGAGTTGACAATGTGAGGTAGCCTCAATAAAGAGTTTCTAAAGCTAATGTTTCACATGTTACCCTTTTGTCAGACTTATTATTTGATCTCTTTTACTCCTTATAGTTTCAAAATGAGCAAAGCATGAAAAGCTATCTTGAAGAACTTTTTCCAGACCAGGTGTGACTAGTTGATTATTTTTTTGATAATTAGAATCGCAACAGTTCTTGTGTACTGTGCTTAACACCCGGGTATCTTTATTGTCCGTAAATACATAGGATTAACCCTTTTGTACCTTTATATCAGTATGTGTATTCTCCATACTGTTCTCTAGACATTTCATATGGAGCTGACAAGGAGAATTTGTTTCACAATCAAGAGCTTCTTTTGTTGGTGATCATTTCCTTTATTCTTGTGACCTTAATCTTTGATTAGGGTTGATATTGTCTGGAGAAATTAGATGCTGGTCACTCTCAGGAGTTTAAGGTTTAAGAAATAAATTAGTCAAATAATGAAGAAATATCATGTGCACATGAAAACCTTAACTTTTCTCTGTTTTTGTGGCTTTTGGGAATTTGACATTTGCCATGAATAGGCAAATGAGAGGCTCCATCTTAAAAGTTGCCTTAATCAAAATGATTGGATGATTATTGAATTACATTAAATCTGATTTTGTCATTAGATTGAGGATGTAATTATGATTGAAGATCTGAGGAAATGGCAGGCATTGATTGAAAAACATGACAACCTAGTGTGGAAACTTGAACGTTCTAAAGTAAGTAATAACCAGGATTAGGATTGTCTGTTGATTGATGTAGTGGTCAATACATGTCAGTCAATTGTGGGCCAAAAGTCACCCAAGAGGGGGTCAATTGAGTCAGATGATAGTAATAGTCAGCCAATCTCGTTGTCAAGGTGTCAGTTTACTCTTGAGGCAGTGGCTTATCAGTGAGATGACTTTCAGTGGAGCATTAGTGGCTCTCCTCAGGAGAACATGAACATGTTTAGTGTGTCAGGCCAAGTGGCCAAAAACTGCTGCAGCCTATCCCTGCTTTCTGAAGCATAGAGCATCTAGGTGTGTATCCACCCCACCTTAATAGGATGCTGGTCCATGGCTCCCCCTGAAATGTTAAATCTGAGTGGAGGGAGTCTTTGTTGAAGTAATTTGTCTTGCCTAAGAACTCAATGATCCATTCAGGTCTCGAACCCTTGATTTGGAATCAAGCATGCAGATGGTTAGGCCATTGTATTTCCTAGCTCATTGGCTAAAATAGTAACCAAATTTATAACCTACCTTAGTTATAGTGCACATGATCCTTTTACTGAACACACACTTGTCCACATGCATCTGCAGTATCATATCATTCCATGGTTTTTGCACAGTTTTGTTGTCTTTTTTTTTTACTTTCAGGCAGTTTATGAATTGACTGGAGAAAGACCAACTCATCATTCACATCCTTGTGGCACTGAATTTGACTCTATCACCCGACATGAGGGGGACTTAACAGTAAGTTATTCTTACTAAAGTAAAGGCGTCAGAGACTAGAGTAAGATTCCTTCCCCATCCCATCCCACCTTCTTAACTCAAAAACCCTGATGTTTCTATAGAAATGAAAGCTGACCAGTTCAAGCAAAAAACAGCCAATTAAATCTGACCAGCAGCTTGCACATAAGCCATTGAACAGTGTGTATTCCAATCAAACTGGAAGCAGTGGATGCAGAACAACTTAAATTTTTATAGAAAACTGATGTACCACTCCTAAATATCATTCCTTCAGTCAGTCAGTCATTTATAGTCAGTCAGTCATTCAGTCAGTCATTCAGTCAGTCAGTCATTCAGTCAATCAGTCATTCAGTCATTCAGTCATTCAGTCAGTCAGTCAGTCAGCCAGTCATTTAGTCAGTCAATCACATAGTCATTCAGTCAGCCAGTCAGCCAGTCAGTCAGTCAGTTAGTCAGGCAGGCAATCATTCCATGATTTATGTAACTAACTATTTCAAATGTCTTTGCTTTTTTTCCCAAGACATTACAGAGCAAACTAGAGAGCGAAATGAACCAAGAGCACAACATTCATCCATGTGCTTTCATAATATTCCGAAGTTTGCGTATGGCAACAACAGCAGTGCAAATAGGATGGGACAACTATTCCTTGAATATGAATGTAACTCCAGCACCTGGGGTTACAGATGTCATCTGGGGCAACCTTGGGGTTGGTCTTTGGCGAAGGTATTAACTCAGACACTGTATATTTAGTATAGTTTTTATACAGCAAGGATATGTATGAAATTTTTAAAGAAATTTAATTATGACTAAAGCTCTCAGAGTTTTTTAGCTTATCAGTATTTGTCAAGGATTAAATAAAACTCAAGTTATCTTTTCTCTTTTACTTAATAAGCGATTGGCTGCAATTTCCATGGGTTTACTGGAAATAACCACTGCAGGATGTTGGGAGAATAACAGAAAAGTTTTAGAGGCAATTGTCATGTACAAACTTTTTTAGTGTTCTCCAAGTATTCTAAATAGGTTGTTATGCTAGTGCACAGATAGAAAGTATTTCATAATGCTTTTATAAATAAATGTTAAATGTTTCAATTTTCTTATTTTTTATAAGTATAATAAATGATAGATTTTTTAACCAATCAGCCCTTATAGTAAGTATCTCAGTCACTCTATAAATATGCATAACTTACAGTGCATTTTCTCACAAGAAAATTCCAGATGCATAATTCCATTGTCAAATTAGATAAACTTGTTGAGATTAGTCAGCACATCATGACCCATGTTTCCTAAAACTTAATCATACAATGTTTTTGTCTCCAGCAAAAAAAAAAACAAAACAAAGATGTGATGTGATTAAGACTATAAGATGGGGTTCTGAAATTTTCCAACTGGCTCAAATGTTTCAGAACTTTCCACAACCTGAACATCAGTTGCTGCTACTATCTTTTATATGCTTTTGATTATTGGTAAAGAGCTGTGCTCGAGTGATATGATTCAAATGGTTCGAATTTACCCTCTTAATGTCAGTTTTTTTTCACACCTGTCTTTTTTTCCATTAGGAAATTTTGCACAGGTCTGGTCTATGCTGCAATATTTGCTTTGGTGTTTTTCTGGGCAGTGCCAGTTGGATTTATCTCAGCTTTAATTACACTAAAGAATATTGCAAAAGTAGCTCCCTGGCTGGATGCAGGTGAGTCATTTAACCAGTACACAACCCAACATCAGCATACATACTCTCTTTCGAGTCCTTTATATGTTTTCCATGGTAATGACAAGAAGTTTTTTTTAATGATCCTAAGCTGCCTTGCTTGGTGAATGTGTAAGGGGAAAAAAATAATTACCCTTAAGGGTTAAATTATTAAAACTTAAGGGCATAACTGCATCAAAGCTGGCCTTAATTGGTGACAAAGCTGTAAGATAGAAGTGTTGAAGGCTGGAGTTATGGAGGAGCTGGTGAACTACTGAATATTGGAGTCTTGAAAGAGATTGATGCGTAATTGTAGTTTTTTTCATAATAAACAGTATTTTTATCTATCCTTATTAACAACCAATATTGTCAGGTCTAAGGGCTGCTGTCTGAATTTACTTACTATTTTCCAATTTTAGACACTAGTGTCCAACTTGAGACATTCATGAGCAATTTTAGACACTTGTCTGTAAAATAGGAAACTGTTGCTATAGGATTTTTGGAATTTTGTGTGAAAATGCACCTATGTACATGAAACAATTTTATATTTTTAAAAATAGGTACACATTATTTGTGCTGTTTGATTAACATCGAGGTAGAACTTTTCTGCCTGAGAATTACTTAATTTTTTTATCTTTCAATTTATCTTGTCATTTGGTAGTTTTAAGCTATAATAACTTTGCAAGAGGGATCATTGAAGGGGTTTTATCCAGTTTAACACTGTGGATCTTCTTTGCTATCCTGCCATTGGTAAGTAGAGTCACTTTTATTTGCTGGTCAAGTAATTTCATCTAAATAAGACATTTTTGTTTGTGTTTATACCTAATAACTGCTTGTACAACTCAGTTAACCCTTTCACTCCCACAAGTGACCAAGACAAAATTTCTCCTTACAAAATCAAAACAATATCAACTCAGTTAAGGATTCTCTGAACTAACATCTGTAACAGTAAAAGTGGAGCCGGAAGTGGAGCCAAGGTAAAGAAAACACAGCAGTCAGACATCTGTGCATGTCCAAACATTGTAAGGACAAAGAGGTGGCCCAGAGTCAGGGTAGTTTCAGACGTTCTAAAGCAAGTTTTTTTGCAGGGATTATAAGCTGGTATTGGTGATTAGACTTTTTTGGCAAGCTGGTACATCAACAGAATACTCCTGCAATTGAGTAAAATTTGTGTTCAAAAAGTCTTAAGATTTTTTCCCTTAATTTTATTACCTTTTTCAGATTTATTTGGACATTACAAGGTACTTTTATGGAGTTATGTGGCTGTGGTTTACAGTCAGATTTCTCTAAAAGCATTGCACAATTGGCGAAAATTGTCCCATTTGCACATTAATTATAACCATTACAATTTCCTCAAATGTGATTGGTGCATCAGCTGCTTCATATTTCCCTAATCACTCTGTACAGTTGTAATTGGACAGTGTAATTAGACAGTTGGCTTTTATTGGACACCTGTAATCAGACAGTTGAAGCAGCCAATCATACTAAGTCCACTCAGCTAAATCCACCAATCATAGAATTGATCACAATAACCATAGCAACAACCACTTACCCTGTAAAAAGTCAGGGAAATTTCCAAACATTTTGCTTTAGACATTGTCCTTACTGGAGATGTTTGTCCTAAAGGTTTTTTTTTTTGTTTTTGTTTTTTTTGGAAATTTTAATGGTTATGATTAATTGGTAACAGGACTTCATGTTGGCCAATTCTGTCTGTAATCATACTCAAGACTGACTTAAGACATTGTCTCCACTAGAGGTATTTGTTTAAGGTGCATTTGTTTTTTCAGAAATTGAAATGGTTATGATTAATTAATTGGTAACAGGACTTCTTGTCGTCCAATTTTGTCTGTAATCATACTTATGATTGACAAATCGGACTTCCTCTTCATGGTCATCTGATTTTGTCAATCACTCATATGATTACAAACGGAATTGGACTTCACTCAGTCCAATTACCATTATGTATTACATTTGACCGTTGTATTATGTAAAATTACACCAATCAAAGTGGCCCCTGCCATTAGAGCTTATCACTGCTTTAAGAAACCATAAAGAGTTTAAGAGTTTAATAAATCCCAGTTGACAGGATACTTGTTACTTGTATAAGACAGATTGACTCTAACCCACCCTCTCCTCCCTTCCTTCTTCTCATTTGATTTAGTAGAATTTTTCCTTTTTCAGATTCTGGAGAGGCTTACCAGACTTGAGGGCCTTGCTTCACAGAGTGAAGTGGACAAGTCTGTCCTGGGAAAACTTTTCATTTTTGTGGTAATGTTTTCAAAATTATAAATAATTTTTCTAATTTTTAACTTAATTTCTTCAGTTTGAGTTGAAAATTCCATATAATGATCTCTTTTGCTTTTGAGCTTTGCACTGTCTAAGGTAGAAAGGTATTGTAAAGTCGGATCAATATCAGTATCTGGGTAACTGCCCACCTACCCCTCCCCTAACCCATCATTAACCCTAACTTGTTATCAATTGACTGTTGTTGAGTTAGAGGAGGGGAAGATGGCCAGTTGCCCAGATACTGAGATTGATCCGTAAAGTCTGCATAAGAGTCAAGCGGCCAACTGGTTGAAAACCAGTGGTTATTTTCTCGACCACTACCAGAGCGAAGTTAGCCAAAAGCGAGACATTTTGAGATTATTTTGGACACCTGAATCAATGGAAAATAACTTTATTGTTGTTGTGCCTCTACAGATTGTCAATCAATTCCTTTTTCTGTCCGCCGGGGCAGCGGTTTTCGGAAAATTTAAAGAAATACTGAGAAAACCTGAGGATATACCGCAGTACTTGGCTCAGTCCTTGCCGGCGCAGGCCACGTTCTTTATCTGTTACATCGTGTTTCGTGGTCTAACTGGGACGTCACTGGAGCTTCTGCGCATTTTTTATCTTATTATCATTCCTATTAAACGGAAGTGGTTTTGTCACACTCCAAGAGAAGACGAGGCGGCCTGGAGACCACCCTATGCCATGTATGATCGACTGGTATGCATTGTTTAAAACTTACGCAAATTTTTTTTCTTAATGTTGTCAAAAGTCTCTTCTCAGTTAACAGCTCTGATAACGTTTAATCATTCTTCTCTGATGCTGAGGAAAACGGTTGACAGCTTATTGTACCGTCAACACCAGGAAATTATTAATTGTAAAGTTAAAAGTGAGAGTTATCTCGTGAAAAAGAAGGCAAACACGCCAGATTTCAATGTGCGTTACAAGTAGTCTTGTGTATTTATAAGGCAACCGGGATATCTCGATCCTTGCTTGTACATAAGCTTCGAATTTTTTGCGTGAGTTGAAATTTTACCCCAGGGTAACTGGAGATTTCTTCCTGGTGGACATAGGTCTGTGTATCACTGAAATTTTAGCCTAGATATCCTGGGTACCGGAATTTTTTCGGTATAGACTTATGTAACATGTCATTACCCTTTGGTAAGAGACTAATTATCATCGACCCTCTTTCGCAGTACAAAGATCACTTGTTTGTTCTGATCGTGGGCATTTCGTACTCAGTCCTCGCTCCTCTCATCACTCCGTTTCTCGTGTTGTACTTCGGGTTTGGTTACATAGCCTGGATGCACCAGATACTTTGTGTATACATCCCAGTGTATAGTACTGGCGGGCGGATGTGGCCAATAGTTTTCAACAGGTAAGTTAAGGTCATAGATAAGGAGGGTAAGTTTCTAAAGAAACTGTGGTGCTGCGTCGGTGGGGTAGTAGAAAACGATCATTTTGGTTTTAGCAACTAATTTGACAATGTGAATTGGCCACTGTAAAGAGATTCAAAGCTGACGTTTCTAGCGTCAGCCCTTTGTCAGAGCGAATGGGTTTATGACGAAGGGCTAACGCTCGAAACGTCAGCTTTGAAACGCTTTCGGTGGCCAATTTACGTGATCAACTTGATGATAAGTTGATAACCAAAGTTATAGGGTCATAAATAGGCTCAATTACTAATCGCTGTTCAGGAAATGAGCAGGTGCTCCCTCCCATGCTTAGGAGGGTGAAAGACTGAGCCCGAGAAAACGGCAGAAATGGAGCGTAGATCATGCGTCGATCGTCATTTTGATATCATGAGCAGGGTACTTTTTGTCTCATTATCTCACTTTTTATTCTTTAGTTGGACGAAAAAAAATTCAAACAGCTGGCCTCGGACAATGAGTAACATGTCAAAGGACCATGATTCATACCCCATGTTTGTTCTTCTTTGTGATCCACGCAGACGCTATATGAAATGAACCGAAAAGAACTCGCTGGTCTGCGAGGTGGTAAATTAGTTTCACATGAAGAAAGTGCTCTATATGAAGTCGCTCTATTTTGTATTTTTGCAGGATAATAGCTGGAATGATCGTCTTCCATCTCCTAATGACAGGAGTACTAAGCTTGAAGGAGTCGTTCGTCGCTGCGGGTTTTATGCTTCCCCTTCCTGTTATCACGATCCTGTTTTTCTTGTTTATCCAGCAGCATTGTCTGAAACCTTCAATGTACTTGTCTATTAACATGGCGTCTGGATTGGCAGAAGCGAGTCCTCGTTTCTTACAGGTCAGTGTGGTGTGCTGTGTGTTACGTGAAGTGTGATGTGAGGTATATGTGGTTTGATATACGTGATGCGGAATGTGTGATGTGTCAGGCGTGATATGTGATTTTTGATGTGTCGTGCCTGGTACGTGATGAGTGATGTGCGATGTTTTATCGAATGATGTGTGGCGCTTGGTACTCGATGCGTGTTGTGTAATAGCGGAAGTGCCCTTTTAATGAAGTGATTTGTGTAGTGGGAAGTGTGAACAGTGAGAGCTAAATTATTGTTAAGTCTGCTCGACAGCTTTCGTTCGGTAAGACGTAGATATTAACGTCATCTCACGGCGCATTTCCACATGTTGTTGTGAAAACAAAAACGAGGTAATCATAATGGCCACAAAGAACGAAGGAAAATATCACGAGGAGCTAATCAGAATTCAAAGTAAAACATAAGCAAACTGCTTGGAGCGCAATAATTTGTGCGCAGTAACAAGTCGGGATGGAATAAGTCTTACATTTATTTGATAAGCAATCGTGACCACTCACAGAAAAGTATAACTAAACCGTTGCTAAAAATCCCAGATTACTTTCGACTCTGAATTGAAAATTTCTCCAATGAACGCTTTTAACTTTTATCATAGAGCGTTGCACAAAGTTATGTCAGAAACTACCGTCTGCCCCCAACGTACGGCCTTAGTTCGTCACCCATTAATGGTGGAGATTATGCCTACGATGACGAAGAAAGGTCGCCTGTAATCACGCCGAGCCACTCAACTGGTGGAATTTCTATGAGCGAAGAGTTTGCGTAGAATGCTGGGAAATCCTCGTGTGGACTAAAAGTTTGTTTCTGCATAACGTGATAATAACAATGAAAACAATAGCGTGACGTTTACTGTGTCTTCTACACCAAGTAAGAGCCGTGATAACAAATTGGACAGCAATGCTGATGTTAGTGTGAAATTTTACGATAGTTATTCAGATTTAAGTTAAATAGTTTTTTAGAGTGGAGACTAATGTAACTACCACGAATCTTTTAGTTACGGTGTGGACATATTCGTAGCAATAAACTGTTTGAAGTTGTTACTTTTCTGGACATTTTAGACATACGTTTAATACTATTTTACTATTATTATCATTATTATTAGTAGTAGTAGTGGTGGTGGTGGTGGTGTTAGTAGTATTGAAATTGATATTATTATCATCATCATCATCATCATTATTATTATTTTTTTTTTTTTAAAGGCAGTATATACTTAAGTATGCCTAGGCATGATTACGTTAAGTCGGGCAGGCTAGCTGTGACCGAGAAAACAAAACCTATAAATATATATTTACACATCTAAAACTATATATCTAATTTGTTTATATTCATTAAAAAATTAGTGTCCATAACTGTTCGCTTTTGTCCAACAAAAAAAAACATTTTTTTGAAATTCTTAAAATATTAAAAGATGTAAAAATTGTTTATATTTAAGTAATTAGCTAATAAGACTTTTCATAAAAATATTATAAAACTTGATTAATATTATATGTTTTTATAAGGATTTATTTGTTGAAATGAACTATTATGAAAGTACTTTAAATGATCTGGTAATGTTCAGTGTACTTGATATTACTGCCTTTTGCATGTTAAATAAGGTCTTGTCAGCTTTTGTCTTGCCAAGAAGTAGTATAACATTCTCTCTCGTTTCTGACGAATATCCTCCTAAAACGTCTATAATGATGTTATATTGCTTGATGGTGTAGCCCTTGTGCTGTTGTTTGAGTTCCCATCTTAAGGGTGCATATTTGGTGGTCTTTTCTTGATTCTTCTGCTTCCTGTTTTCTATCCAGGGGCAACTCATCTCTATGATCTTTACTGTTTCTGTCTCCTTTTCAACTATCCTGACATCTATTCGGTTGGCTCTTACTTCTGTATTTCCTGCAAATACTGGTACATCCCAGAATGCGCTTGCTTTGGTGTTGTGGTACTCAGGTTTCGGTGTTGTTGGTGAGTATTATTATTATTATTATTATTAGTGAGTATTATTATTGGTGATTATTATTATTATTATTATTATTATTATTACAATTATGATTTTTTATTATGGTTATTTTGGTACCACTCATGACAAATCACACGGCAGGGATGCCAGCACTTCAAATTTTTACCGCGAAAACTTTTACGGTGTGCACATATTACATGAATTGCATGAATTTAATATGGTTGGACTGATTTCTAACAGTCCGGAGAAGAGAAGGGCTCGTATCAATGAGAAAGATTCAACTGGCGAACGGAAAGGGTAATAAACTTTCGCAACACGTTTTGCTGTAAGTGAAACTAGCACTGCGCAAAGTTGGTCTGAATTAGTGTGATTGTGGTCGGTAGATTAGGTAAAAGCACGAAATTTAAATAAGGGATTAGTATATGTCAGAATAAAACTGAATGTGCTAATTTTTATTTTAAGTCTATACGGCGTAATTTTATTTGCAAATCGGTGTGAGCGAGTATTGTTAAAGTCTTTGAATGTAATCAATTTGAAGTAAACAGCTCATAAATTTAAATTAAGCTTTTGAGCAATATATATGAGCATCCACAGAACTTTAATTACGATAAGCTACATATTTTTTTGGATCAAAACATTACTTTTTATTTTAGTATAGAAATGATCAAAAAGCTGTTTGCAAATTTTTAAAAATAAACTAATATCTACATTTCCATGCCGTGCAGACGTGCAACTCGCTGCCAATTGATATGTCTAGTATCTTCCAAATTAGTTATGCGTCAGCGGTTCTGTCAACACACCTTACCACAAAATTCAGTATCTTTGCTTTTGAAGTGAAGTCACGCGATAGAAAATCCACTCCCTAACGATACGATTTAACTTCGAAACCCTTTAGAACTATCTAGATTGATAATTATTCACGTACGAATCGCCAACGTTTTCTTCTCTAATAGCCAAGGAGCGCGTGGAAAGATCTGCGTTTCGCATGTTATTAAATTTAATTACGATTGTATTAAAAATCTTCACTGTCACGCTGTTGTCTCAATTCGTTCATCGAGCAGAAATAATTTATTAGTGTTTTCTTTTTACAAATAGATGTGCTTTTTAAAATCGGTAATCGGTTTAAACGAATTCATAACGACGCCAACAACCTTGTTTAGCATGAAGAAAGACAGAGAATTCGCTGGATCGCTCAACGGGCGTCTACCATTGTGAGAACTTGTCTAGTCGCTTCCGCGCACCTCCACGTGATCACGTAATCGGAAAACTCTATTGGATCTTCATCGATCGATCAAATTTATGACTGCTGGCGCTATTCAGCCACGCATAAAATTTAGTACAATTCAGTTAGCACTACCTTGCAATCTGGGTGTAGCGACGAGACGACAGCTTTGCGAAAATGGCGAATGACAGCGCTAACAGCAACGACACGGTGGATGGTGAAGTAGCAGACAGCACTAACAAGTTTGTCTCAGCGCTTATTCTCAACTTGATTATAGCCCTCATATGTTTAATATTGTTTTGCATTCTAAGACAGAAGCACAAAATTATTTACGCGCCAAGGCAGCTTTTGATAGATACGCTAGCGCCTGGAAAACGTTCCCAGTCGTTTTTCTCGTGGCTTTTTCCCGCTTTCACCGTGAAGGATGACGAAGTTTTCCTCTACGCGGGTATTGATGCGGTGGTTCACATGCGGTTCATGAAGCTTTGCTTTAAGATCGCCCTAGTTCTCATGCCATACGGAATCATTGTTTTGATTCCCGTGAATTATTACGGTGGAGGGGATCTGAGCGGCTTGGAGCAGATAGCGCTGTCAAACATCGTCGTAAAATCATCGAAAGTTTGGGCCCACACTGTAGCCGCCTGGCTGTACACATTGATTATCTGCTACCTTTTGTACATGGAATGGAAAGCGTTTATCATGTACCGACAACAGTATCTTAGTAAAGGGATGGGCTATCAGTACGCTGTGTTGGTTAGAGATTTGCCAGACAAGGTAAGGCTTTCAGATTAGTTCGCTTTTTATATAATCTTTTTTTCTTACCATTAATGACCCAGATTTTTCTCAAAAGATCTTGAAAATGTCAATCGATTTTGAAACAGCATGTGTTTGCAGCGAACTAGCAGCTGGTAAAAAAAAAAAGGTTTAACTCTGTCATGAATAATGAATGAGAAACATGTGGAAAGAAAAATGCTAATATGCTGCGTGTTGCGTTACAGTGAGCGTAACGATCGGATGTAACACGTATTTTGCGCGCAAAGCGGAGAAGAGATAGGTTAGCGAAACAGACCGAAAGAAGTCGTGGAGATCCTTGATAACTTGATCCATTAGAGAGTAGTTTTTCTAAGAACACGCGAAATAATTTAATTAGAAATTTACGTGGTGAGTTTAACAAAGTTGACAGACTGATCTTGTGTTTACCACGTGTGTCGAACACAAAAAAAAGGGCGCCTGAACACTGATAAAAGTTCGTCCAATTTTTGAGCCAAAATATATGGAAAAATACGGAAAGCTTTCGTGACCAAGCGAAAATTAATTGGCGAATTCAAACTTCGAATTAATCTTTCGCTAGGGAAGTAACGTTTCTTGCATAGCCTGAGGCAAAACTTTTTTTTCGCGTTTCAATTCATTCGTGTGATTTACTCATGGGTGTATCGAGTGTCACGCCCTATTCCCAAGCTGGACTTGATGAAGTAGCATATGAAGCAATCTTATCTTTTTAAAAGAATATAAATATATTTTCAACGGTTGCAGTCCTGCAAGTCGATGAGTTTCTGAAACGCGGTGTCACAATGAACGGGTATCAGCTATCGCAAGAACCTCCTTCCCAAATCTCTCTCGGCTTCCCATTTGGAAAGCTGAAGAACGAGCGACGTTATTTATAAATACCTTTCTAAACGGAAGATTAAATCATTCATCAGTTATTCCAGTCTATCAATCCCAGCTGAGTTGTTTCTGAACGAATTATTTTCCTATATCTTCCGTTAATTAGCTGTTAAATCTGCGAAATATCGCGAACTGGGGCATGAAGCTGGAATCATTGTCCGAGGGGTTGAGATTGCCATCAAAATTTACTGAGAGAAGTAATTGCGAGGTCCCCTCTTTTCAAATTTTCATATTTTATTCTCTTAATTGATTTTTAGTTCAAGGATTACGAAAGTTTGAAGAACCACATGCAAGAATTATTTCCTGAAGAGGTAACGTAGATTTCATTTCCAATTCCGCAGCTGATTTTTAACTGGACTAAGTCGGAATTTGTTGGTAAGGAAAAGGTTTTTTTATGCTTCAGGTGGAAGATGTCGTAATTGTGGAGGATCTCAAAAAGTGGCAAGAACTTGTTAACGAGCGGGATGCTCTAAAATGGAAGCTGGAGCACGCAAAAGTAAGTTTTCCATACTTCGGGTTTATGTGCTAGTCTTAAAGTTTCCTTATTAGTGGACGTGAATTTCAGCCAAATGCTTACACGCCCCAGAGTCTTCCCTTTACACCATAATGGGCGTGGCCGTGTTAACACCCTTAAAGGATATACCATAACGAATCGAGACTTCATGGGGGTTGGGTTGAAGAAACCCGGCGAACAAAGGAGGGGAAAAGAGGCGGGGGAAGGGAGTGGGGGGGGGGGGTTCCAAAAGTAAAATTCGTATTGCAGCTTATGTAGCGTTGAGAGGGGAATATTATAGACTTAAGCTGAAGGGAGAGCTGATCTTTGGAAAAGAAGACCGTCTTTTCAGACCTCCCATTCCTTACTCTCTTCTAACCCACGTTTAGTTAAGAGGGTAGGGCAAGGGCGTGGCAAAGAGAGGAGTAAAGGGATGCACGAAGCCCATTTTTTAAAGAGAGAGGACGATAAAAACGACAAGTTCACAAATTAGCTCATGGTAAAATTTTACTATGGATGTGATTTTCATTATGAAATATATTTTTCAGGCAGTTTTTGAGCAAACTGAAGAAAGACCCACGCACAAGAAGTTCATTTGCTGCGGAACGAAATTCGACTCCATTACCCAGTATGGAGCAGAGCTAGAGGTAATAGATAATTATAATCGTGACTTAATAGATCGACGATGGGTAGGGACAGAGCGAGAGAGGAAGGCGACACCTCCTCCTCCTTCCCATCAGCCCTTTCTCCCCCACGTAAGCGCTGCGCAGATTTTGGAGAAGACTGGTGAGTAGGACCTAGTCCTCCTTCGTCCAATTCTTTTTTCCCTTACTGTAGATGATTGATTTTCTTTTACGCGAGTCTCTAAGGATTTCATTGTTATCTTTGCAGACTGCACAGAACAAACTAGACGTTGAAACTGAGAAGAAACACACTCTACTTCCTAGTAGCTTCGTCGTTTTTCGATCTCTGCGATCGTCAACTCTGGCGAATCAGGCTGACTGGGATAACTCCCCCCTGGCCGTCGACGTCATGCCCGCCCCAGAGCTGACAAGTGTTCTGTGGAATAATCTCTCCATTGGTCTGTGGGCAAGGTATCTTATATTTACAGCTCTTGCGTAGGGAAACATTGCGGTCGGTGTTTCGATGTAAAATTAAACGAAATGTCGTGGAGGGTTACAGATTCATTACTTGATATCACATATCCTTCAAGTATAATTAAGTTTCATCAAGGATATTGCGATTTTAAGGCGTTGTTGAGATCAAGGCAGTTTTTAGTATAACTTTCCATAATTACATAACTCCTCAGACTCTTTTTACGTCCTGTTCAGCATTGATTTTGGTTTGTAATCAAGCAAGACATTTTCCTTTTTATGATGATCTCCCGCAAGAATTTCTTTCAATTCTAATTTTCTTTCAATTATGATTCAAAACAGGAAATTGCGTACAGTTCTCATCTACACACTTGTGTTCCTGTTGGTGTTCTTCTGGACTGTGCCTGTCGCATTCACATCATCTTTGGTCGAGCTACAGAATCTGACAAAAATCGCGCCATTTTTGAAACCAGGTGGGTCTTGCTAATCAATCAGTACTAAGGGGCTGTCAGAAAGGGCATTCGCATTCGGTTTCTGGTCAAACTGGGGAGAGGTCTTTGACAAGATAGAAAATTACATACTTTGTATATACCGACCTGAAATTTGAATAAATAAAAAACAATCTATTTATCATGCTTTTCTCAAGCCAGCGTCTATAAATGATGATAACCGGTATGAGACATATTTTTACCATTTTTGTTTTAATTATTCGCGCGTCCTTGTTTTTTTGGTACTTTACCTGTTTCTCTTTCTTTTTCAGTGCTGGAGCTTAACGCATTTGTGAAAGGTGCCATTGAGGGTTTCTTGTCAGGTCTCGCTTTGCTAATCTTCTTCGCCATTTTGCCCTTGGTTAGTACAGACAGAATCACTTGTCATGTTGACTGACTGACTGGCTGACAAGGAGAATAACTTACTGACTGATTGATGGATTTTAATCGGTCGAATAATTCTGTTATTGGAATAAAACTGTGATTAGTTTATAGAACGTGCACACATGATGTTAGAACAAGATGATAAACTTGCAAATCTTTTAAGAACACAATTTCAAAAATAAATTTGCATCTATGCCTTTTCATCCCATGTTAGATCCTGCAGTTTTTCAGCAAGCTGGAAGGAATACCATCCCAAAGTGAAGTGGACAGATCTACGCTGGGAAAATTGTACATTTTCATGGTAACGATGCTCTTAAATTAAAAAGTCCTTAAGAATTTTAGTGTAAATTTCTTCTGCAGTTATCTCGAGGGGGGGAGTCGAGGGTTTTGGGGGGATCATACGGTATATGGATCACATGATGTATGGAATGGCGGGAGGGGGGGTCAGTCGCCATCAACCGAGTACGAGGGGGGGGACTATTAGAAAATTGACTGTCAATAAAGGAGGGATCAAGAATATAAAAGAGTCTTATTAGGGTATTAGGTAAATACTCCGCGCCCCCCCCCTCCCCTCCCCCCTGGCGATCAACACCGATTGGTCCTAACTCCTTATCTTGTTTTGTTGCCAGCTGGTGAACAAGTTCTTGTTCATGACATTTGCTGGCTCAGCTTTAAACAAACTGAAAGAGATGGCAGATAATCCGAGCCAGATTCCATCATTTTTAGCTGAAGCTCTTCCCTCGCAGTCTACCTTCTTCATTTGTTACATCATGCTGGCGACTCTGACTGGTTATGCGCTGCAGCTATTGCGCGTAGTGCCTCTCATTCTGGTGTCAATCAAGCGTAAGTGGCTTGTGAAGACGCCCCGTGAGGATGATTTGGCCTGGAAACCACCACCTGTCCTTTATGACCGAGTGGTAAGTTTACCATATGAACATGTAGTTCTAAAGCAGAGATCTTTCTTAGTCGCTTATAGTAATTCATAATCATGGTCCCACAAAAAGTCGCCCATCAATATCTCTATATCGTTGAAAGATCTATTCCATCTTACGTTATATTGCATCATAATTAAGATCCTGTGCTAGGCGATCTAGCGACGCCCCATACTTACGAAAATATGGTAGCCCGTCAAGTCTAGACATCCGAATGTTTGCGAGCGCAAGAGGCTGCATTGCAAACACAGTGTGGGGCAATGCATGTGGATGAGTAAGTGTGCTTTTGAGAAATTTTCCTCATCACTTTAACATTGACTCCTCAGAGTTAGTCTCAGCCGACATAGATTTATCCCTAAATCGCTGCTTTGCGAGTTCAGTGGAAACTTTAACGAACAAGTAGCAGGAAAATTATTCAACCAACGCTTCAATGATTTGTAGCTACTTGTTTTCACAATTCTTTCTCAAGCGTACGAGACATTCGATGTATTAGATGTTGATCCTTTGAGACCTGTTGCATGACTTTTTCTTTGCGATGAGAATGCTAATCTGAAGAGTGACTATGCAAGGTTCTTAAAGTACTTTACCTCATTGACGGTCTTCGTCCCTTGTCTTTATTTCCAGTTCGCAAACCATCTCTTTATTCTGATGGTGGGCCTGGCCTACTCCGCATTGGCGCCCATCATAACTCCGTTTGTTGCGTTGTACTTTGGGTTTGGTTACATTGTATGGATGCATCAGACTTTAAGCATTTACATCCCCAACTACAGCTGTGGCGGCATGATGTGGCCGAGGGTTTTTAACAGGTACAGAAAATGAATTAATTTAATCGTGCAAGCAATTTTTTTCAGAAAAACAACAACAAACACGTGAAAACAGAGGCAAGGCTGACCTGCGCTCGAACCTGAACCTAACCTCAGTTGGGTTCTGAAATTTCATGCGTAGACCTCAAGAGGACGCATAATTTATTTACTGGATGTCTTTTTGTGAAAGTGATGATTCCTATTTCCTTTCATTTTCTATAGGATGATTGTAGCAACAGTGGTGTTTCAGCTTCTGATGTTTGGAGTGGTAAGCTTAAAGCAGTCATACGCTGCATCAGTCTTAATCCTTCCGCTGCCTGTCATCACACTCCTGTTCTATTTCTTCATTCTGCAACACTACATCAGACCTGCAGAGAACCTGTCGCTGAGTGCGGCTCATGGCCTGGAGAGTCCCGCTCCAAACTTTATACAGGTAAGGTTTGTCAGTGTTTAACGGCACACAGTCAGAATTAAGTCTTAGCAATAGCATATTCTGGCACGAGTCACAGTCCTTTACTGCTGCCTGAAAGCAGGATAGGCAAAGATAAATATAGACAGACAGACAAACAAACAGATAGGTAGGTAGGTAAACTGGCCCTTTTCTAAACTATAACGTGATGCTTCTCCTTTCTCCTTTGCGGCCTTGATTAGGACGTAGCGAAGAGCTACATGAGGACTCAAGGAGTTCCAGCCCCAGTCCCGGAACCTGCTCCAGCAGACGTTGACCAGACCTTGGGATCTGAGTTAGAGTCTAGTCTTCCTCTGACAGCCACCACCGAGAAGAAAGAGGATGTGTAAAGGACTAGTACCGGATAATGGAATTCGTTTACTGTGATGATGGATAGACTTTTTGAATTCCCCAGAACCATTAAATGGTTTATTTATCGGAGCAATATGAGTTTTATTTCACAACCTTGTTTTCCTATCCATTATTTTTATAAACCAGGTCTTAGAAAGTTTAGAGTCTAAACGTACTAGGTTAGAAATATTTTTATTCAACCAATCAAACCTTAAAACAGAGTTTTTTTTAGCTTAGACAAGTCTTTGACATAGTTAGGTTGTCACCGAAAGGTGTAATGATTAACTTAAGATTAAATCCTTTGGAGTGGGCACTACTGCAAAGGTAAACAGCGTTAGGAAGGGCGTGGTTGACACCAGTCAACTTAAAATCTCCGTCAACAGGGAAGAAGTGACCGTACTCGGACGGGTAATGTCTATACCTATTTCTGAGAGTAAGCCATTTATCAAACGATCGAAGGTGCTTTGAGTTATCCTTAGGTGGACGTATAAATTTAGAACTGTAGTCTAGGAGAGAAAAATCATGTTTTCATCGTCGGGACCTTTAGACTTACAGACACATTTAAAGTCGACTGTAGAGATATGAGCCGCTGCAATGATTTTCGTCCAGCATACAATAGTTAGTTAATGGTACAGCAATATCCTGCTTCATTAAAAGTGAACGTCAAATTCGGGATGTTGTGTTTTATCTTCTTCATGCTCTCCAGCTTACAAGATAGACTAGCTCGCTTCAACCTAACCTGACATAACAAGCCATCGGAGAAAAAGTATGCGGAAGTCTAGTTCCCAGACTGCCTATCTCGCCTCTTTATCTGCGCGAAGTCGGTTTCGGTTTCGCAACGTGGTCTGAACCTATGCGTAGCAAAATAGATATTATGTCATACTGTTCTGTTCATCCAAGCGGATCAGCGACTCAGTATATCTGCTGAGAAGAGGGCATTGCGTTTTATTACGCGCATTTCGAGGACGTTTCGCCGTTTTTGGCTTACCTGACCATGGAAGCTTTTGGAGAAAGGTAAATAAGATTATCATAAGAAGTAAATTGAATTTTCTCTCGATGGTATGGGAAAAGAATTAGGACTGAGAGCTTGCCAGCTGCTTTCTAACGATATCAGCAAGATCGCTATGACTTAAATATATATTTCAATCCCCAACGAACTGCAGTACTGTAATGTTTATGTATTTCTACCGTGACTTAAGATCTAATTTTTATAGGAGGATGCTGGAGTTTACTTATTGCTTGAAGGTAGAGTCTAAAAGTACCGAAACCGTGGCAAACTGTGACGAAACGTCAGGTTCAGCAGATGGCTTTAAAAGTGTCTGAACTGATCAATTATTCGCAAAGGACCTACATGTCTATTTGTTCAAAAGATATTACGATCTTCAACTTCATAGCGTCCTTTATATGAGTAAAGAAGTCGCACATAACCATTGAAAATCACTCAACTTTTGTGAGTTTGGAGTCTGTGTTATATTTTTGGAAACTGTGGAAAGTAAAATCACTGGATTCCAAATTTTTGTTTCGTTTGACGCTATACTTGATATTCTGGTATGGAAAACATAAGCGTACACTGAGGTTAATAGCGATATTTCATGTTTGAACAAAATTAAAAGCATTTGGATTAAACTTCCTGTCCCTAAACTTTATAATTATCGACGAAACAGTTGAGTTCAATGCAATAAAGAAATTATGAATCAGTACTTTAGAAGAAAATTCTCCTTAACTTTCCCCTCAGTTGTCAAGGAGTTTTCAAATTTTGAAATACTAAATTATAGTATACTAAGAAATATCTTATTTCCGTATGAAGGTAATTTTAAAGTGCTTGTGGTCACGACGATGCCTGAGGAGGAAACCCAGCCACTGTTGAAAGTGTGCACATATCCCGAACCGAGGTTTGGAGAGGCGAAGATTAAGATAAGGCTGCCTTGGGACAAAATCCTGTCAGTATGCTACAGTCTGTTGCTATGTTGGCAAGTGATCGGGAATTGTTTATACTTTGTTCGTGGCATTAAGTGTTTCAGAGACAAGTCCTCAACGTTCCTTTGTGAAAGAAATGCAGCTTTCCTGTATTCAGAAGAACTTGAAGTCGTTTGGCTCACTACTCAAACCATTCTTATCGTCGTTGTCATCGTCTTATTACCACGAATACCAGGATTCCTCGGCCTTAAGGCAATCTTCCATCGGTTGAAATGTGTTCCCTCATTTTTCACATTGGTTCTTCTTCTCGTGATTGCGGTATCCAGAGATGTTATGCTTTTACTAACATCTCCCAAAACTTTCCTTACCATGGCGATCCTAATCGGGTTTGCTCTAAAATATACACTGGCAGTTTTAGCTGCAGCTATGCTTAATTATACACAGCTGAGTACTTTAAAGCACCGATATCCCCTCTATGTGTTTTTATTATCGAAGTTGACTGTCTTTGTGATTTTTCTCGCAAGTTTCATTCATTTCACCATCGCGCTCATTGCAATAACTTTCAACGTTCAAAAATTTCCTGCAGCGATGAGTTCAGCAAACTCGACGGATTTTCATGTGGTGAATAAATTGTTAGAAAACTTTGGCGTCACCAGTTTTCGATTCAAATTAATGAGTTTCTTCTGGACGAAGCTATTCATCGATGACAAGGGTATTTTTTGAACAGCATTAGGATAAATGATCTGAATAAAGTCGATTTGATCAATCTCTCGATAGTGATATGTCTTTACCTATATTTAAATACAACGCACGCATGATTTCAATTTTACTTAGGGCGGAGAGTTTCCGTCAAATATTGCCCGCGCGTCGAACAATATTGAAGTATTACAGTTTTTTTTCTAGTTTCTACATAGCCTCATCGAAGCACGAAGGGGACTGGGACGTTGTGTTTTATCTTCTCATGCTCTCCAGCTTACAAGATAGACTAGCTGGCCAGATGATTTGTTCTCTGTTCTTGAACAAACAAACTGACCGACAACAGACTGACTAATAGATTGCGTGAATTGAGTGACCGGCAGACTGATTAGTAGACTGACTGATAGACTGTGTAGCCTAACATTACAAGCCATTGGAGAAAAAGTAAACGGAAATCCATTCCTCAGGCTGCCAATCTTTTCTCTTTATTTTCTCGAAGTCTCGTATGAAGAGGGCGGAAACAAAAATCTCCTGGTTACGCTAAGACTTTCAGAGGAATCAAGGTTTAGCTGAGCCGAAAGCACGGAGGCACTTGGCCTAGGTAACTGAATACTCCATAGCAGTGTACCGGCCCAGAAGGCCACTCGGGAGAGTGTTCTGGTCTCCCTTTTACAGCTTGGTTTTCCTGCGTTTCCTTTCTTGCAACCCAAATGGGTTATTTCATTACCCCACGCTAACCGTGGAGGGTTCGCATCTCAATTTATACTCGCTTGTTAAGAAGATATTTTGGCTAATATATAGATTTTCAAAGCCAACCAGTGAAGTTCAATCAGTATTTTTTTCTATGGACAAAATTTTCATTATGATAAAAGGATGCTAGCGCTAACTGATGAGGAAGACGGCTTGTTCGGTTAGTCAGGGTATGTTACAACGAAGCAATGGGCCTCACCGAACAGTTTCGAGCCTGAATCATTGGATAAGGAACTACAGGTACTTGTCTACTTTAAAAAGGTGCTAATATCTCCAACTTCACAGGATCTTCTGAAAAACACACCACTGAGATAGATAGAGAAGCTCCTAAGGTCACATCGTTTTCAGTATTCCGAATTAATTACCTCAGCCGAAGAGATACAAAGTGCTGTTTCTCAGTAGGTCAAAATGATGAATTAAATAAAAAATCATAACATGTAAACTACAAGTTTATGAAAAGACAAAAGGACGTTTACCCAATACACAAAATAGCAACCCGAGACACCGTACGAAGTTACCAAAGTTGGGAAACTTGAACTTCTAGACTTTCGGGGAAAAGAAGAGCTTGATACAAATAGGTTATGACTTAAGATAAATTTTGAAATTTTTTTACGTTATTCTCATAGTTTATGTTTGCATAATTTGCATATACTATTCGAAAAAATTCAGCCATCATTAACAGGAAAAGGCCAAAGTTTGGAGAAATCGTTTGCTTATGCTAAAAAAACCTGTTTCGTTTTCATTTTCTGTATTCTCAGTGACAATAGCTCCGAAACAAGGAATGCGGGGATTTTTTTCTTTGTTATTTGTCGTTTGACCCAAGACAAAAATAGAACGTGATCGAGGCTATGCAGTATTCCCATTCTATGTTAAGTATTTGTATTGAACGGCTTTAAATTTTTAAACTTTTTCATCGTCCACGGATTCTCATATATTATGTTTGCAGAATTTGCGTATACTATTCGAAAAAATTCAGCCAACATTAACAGGAAAAGGCCAAAGTTTGGAGAAATCGTCTGTTATGCTAAAAAGACCTGTTTCGTTTTCATTTTCTGTATTCTCATTGACAATAGCTCCGAACCAAGGAATGCGGGGATTTTTTTCTTTGTTATTTGTCGTTTGACACAAGACAAAAATAGAACGTGATCGAGGCTATGCAGTATTCCCATTCTATGTTAAGTATTTGTATTGAACGGCTTTAGATTTTTAAACTTTTTCACCGTCCACGGATTCTCATATATTATGTTTGCAGAATTTGCATATATTATTCGAAAAAATTTAGCCATAATTAACAGGAAAAGGCCAAAGTTTAGAGAAATTGTTTGCTTGTGGGGAAAAGACCTGTTTCGTTTTCATTTTCTGTATTCTTGTTGAAAATCACTTGAATCATTTGACTCAAGACAATTAGAACGTGATCTAAGCTAGCGACGTAAATCAACTATAGCGACCTTTGAACGTGAGCCAAGACGAAAGCCCTGAGCTTAAGCTGATGTTTGAGAATACTTTTTCAATTTGTAATCTATCAGAAGAAGAAATAAGGAACCTCGTCAGGCAAATTTATCCAGAAAAGCGCACACGGAAAGCAACAAGAAGTTTCTCAGTCTTAACTCTCACGTTGATCAGTCCAATTCATGTTTGCCCAACGGGTAGGTTTTCCAAACTATTTTTGCACACAGATTTTTTGGTAGTTTGCCTGTTTTAAAAGTTCGTCCTTTTATTATCAGGACACTGAATGAGGCAATTAATCTATTCTCTTGAGAAAAATGTTATTATGTTTCCGTTGCGTCAATCTGTTCTCCTCGATCGGCTCCTACTTCGATGTGAATCCCACAACATTATGCAAATATTTGAACATCGAAACGAATATATTCGAAGTTGTTTACGATGACAACACTTTTGGAGTGGAAATGCAGTATTTTTTATTCTACGTTGAGAATTTGTATTGGTCGACCTCAAATGACAAACCTTTTTTGCAATTTTTGAGGTTTTAAACTCTCTTGTGTTTAAAATATATGAAAGTTCACAAGGCAACCAGGTGGACAATCAGACATGGTTTGATGCTACTCTGGTTTACAGATTTAATGAATGTAACCGAAGAAATTACAATTCATAGACCCAACGTTTCGACACTCCTGTCTAGTGCCTTCATCAGGGATGACCTAAACGCTACAACAAGAGGTCCTTATATAATAATCACTAACAAGCGGCCTTTTTTCTGACGAGGTGTAAATAGGCGTCAGGAAGCAAACCGCCATCGTCACGATTCAAAGGAGCGCGGGCGGAGTTAATAGATTTAATGAATGTA